AACAACTTTATTGATAAATGTATTGTTTTTACTTTGAAAATTACTAATGGGCCCTAAAATTAAAGAAGTTTTAAACATTTTCTTAATTTTTTTTTTAGTAAAATGAGAATAATTTATTCGCAGTCGAAAAAATTGTTTCGGCGTGTTTTTTAGGGTCAAATATTTCAAGTTAATGTATTCAAAAAGCAGGAATTGCTATTTTAGGAACGAAACATTTTCTTATTTAACAACATGGCGGCTTTCACTTTGTTGTTTTGGAGATTAAGATGGAGTAGTTCGAGTAGTCGCATACTGGACTAATAAGTCGCAGTTCGGCCTTAACAGGTAGTATACTAGTCGCAAGATTGCCTAATTTAGTCATCCTAGAGTCTAGCTTGTGCCGCCCTCTATAATCTAAATAAACGAGGGAGTGGATAAACTATCCTAAATATTCTAGAATTCTTTAATATATTATCGCAGAAAAAATATCAGAAACTAAAAATTAAAAAAAATATAGCACATATCAAACGTTTTGTAAAATTCCATTAAAAATAAAACGTTATAACTTTCCATAATACCTTATTTTGCTGTGCTCGTTTTTACTATCTTTATTTTCTTTCGAAAAAAATGAAATATCGGCCTAGCCAAGTGAAAACTAACAAACAGGGGGCGGAAAAAATATTGAGAAAACAAAATCTCGTTTCTTGCTAACAAATTATAGCGAGAGCCGCCCTTAGGTCCTCGACGAGAGGATCAAATACAAACACAAACACAGAGAAAAGGGCAAAAAGGGACGCTATATGATTCCATTAAGGCTTTTTTTTCCTTTAGTAGCACCGACAAATACATATTCTCCTGTTTGCACAATGTCCGTCGTATATTTTTTTGCCTTGTATATTTCTAAAATGATTTTTTTAATGAAAATTTTTTTGATTTGTTGAAAATTTGTGTGCATTTATCTACTTACACCATGTACTGGGTGGTCAATTTTGGCATACAGGTTGATTCTAAGGTGTAGAAGTTCGATAAGAAAGATTTTTTCGGAATTCCAGTTCAAAGGGAGTGAAACTGCCCCTCAAATATTACAATAGTTTTTATTTAAAAAACGGCAAAGTTTCCAAACCAAACCAAAAACGCCTAAACACGTATATTTTATTATGTTGTTTTACATGTTTTAAGATAAGCAAAATAAAAACACTAAATCCCCACAATACACCAAAACACTTTTACTTTTACACTGGACGCGCGTTTCGCTAACCATGTTAGCATCATCAGCAGATGATTATAAACTAAAATACAATCTACAAGTTGAGCGTTTTTATAGTCGCTCAGTGGGCACCGAGTGGGCGTGGCAAAATCTAGCCAACCGAGTCAGAGCCCACTGAGCAGTGGATGAACAGTTAGATTTCCGCCACTAGAGTAGTAGGAACAAAGAACTTGAAGGAATCGGAACATTGACTCTGTTCATACTATCTTTACATTTATTAATTCTGATGCTTTCATATGCATGTAATTGCCTGTAATTTGAGACTTGTTTAATTAATTTTAAATTATTAAGATCTATACAATGTTCTTTATCAACAATATGTTCGGCAACGCAAGATTTATCCGGTCTACCATATCTTATCTGAGCTAAATATTCTTTAAATCTAGTTGATATTGATCTTCTGGCCACCTCTTGTGCCTCTATGGACAGTATAGCCAAGTTAGTTAACCTTGTCTGAGAGGAATGATTTTCAATTTTGAAAATGATCTTTCCGCTGTAGCAACACTCACTGGAAGAGTTAGAAATAATAATAAGGCTGTTGTTACCTCTGTAATTAAGAACACAGCAAAATCTTTAATATTTTGGAGAGAATCAATTTGTTCCTTTAACGGCATACAAAATGCGACTACCTCTAAAGGGAAAATCGTAGACAGATCGCTCGAATATGTCTGCTGTACTGTTTCTGCAGCCATAAATAATTCTTTTTCAGATAAAGTTATCAGAACTTGAGGACATAGGAATCTAAATTTATTCACAAATAACTCCATTCCCTCAAAACGATTACTTATTTGGTTAATTACAATATCAAATATTTATATCAAATATTTTTTTGTGAGAAATCACTTTTTCACTTCGTTTAAACAAGAGAGTAGAAAGTATTATATATTTAAAAAAAGAAAATATTTAAAAAAGTATACAGGGTAGTTGCGCTTCAGTATATTCACCAAGATGCAATTAAACAAGTTGAGTTTTTTGGAAAAAAACGGATTTTTTTGAAAACCAATTTTATTTTTTCCTGTCGTTACTTTTTAGAAAATCAAAAAACTAATTGCTTATTGTCATAGCCACTTTATTAGGGCTATCTGACGGTATTTAGATTTTCATATTAGCTGATAATTTGTGAGATACAGAGGCCAACTTATTTTTTTTTAAATACGGACCTGCATTTTTTATTTCAGATTTTGAAAGAACTCGGCCTCCTGAGTACAATGATATGCCACACTTTTTTTTGTTCGGGACATTTGAACACAATTTATTTAAACTAATTTCAAGTCCGGCTCTGTTTTTTTTTAATATTTACACTATTCATCGTTACAATATTGATAAGCCTTCAAACAACAATGACGTGGGGTAAAACATTGAATACGGAATAAAATAATAAAAAATAATATAAATATAAAGTAAACAATCAAATCATTTCCCCTGAAGATGAACTGGAAATGGTAGAGCAGTATGGAAGTATAAGAAGAAAGTTCAAAGAGTTATAATTAAAATTGAAGGAAAAATTAATTTGTGCAATAGGAAGTAACATGTAGAGCATTAGAAACTAGTTTGTAGAAGTTCATTTATTTATAATATCTACGATATATTATTGCATATTATTACGCACATTAAGATTTCACAATAAAAAAAATTAAAAATATTATCTTTAAATTGCTGACCTGGATATTATTTATTTGAATCTTCCAATTGGCTCGATTTTCCTTATTCAATGTAAATTAACGCTGATAAATATTGTTGCCATGAATATAATCAGATTAAGTAATTTAAAAAAACAGAGTCGGACTAAATAGTTCTGGTATTGTTAAGGTACCCAAAAAAAAAGTGTAAAGTGTGGTATATCATTCATGATCTGGCATATTCATGATGTGGCATCAACGAGACCGAGTTCTTCCAAAAACTGAAATAAAAAATGCAGGCCCGTATTTAAAAAAAATAAGTTGACCTCTGTATCTCACATATTATCAGCCAATTTAAAAATATAAAAATATTATCAGGAAATCTTCATAAAGTGGTTATGAGAACGTGCAATTAGTTTTTGGATTTTCTAAAAAGTAACGACAGGAAAAAATAAAATCGGTTTTCAAAAAAATCTGTTTTTCCAAAAAACTCAGCAATCCTTTTAGCAAATTTTTTAAACTTTTTTGATGGCATCTTGGTGAATATCCAAAGCGCAACTTTCCCGCAATTTAACCATCTTCGTATCTATTACGGTTTTTGACATACCAAAATGCGCGTACCTCGAATTTGTAGCACCCTGTATACAATAAAAACTACCCTTAACCGTAACTCTTCAAATTTGTATCTAACTTAGATACACTGAAAAAAGGATCTCTCAGTCGAAATGAATATGACTTGACCCAAAAGATTGGCGCTTTTCAATAGGGCCAAGAACGACGTTTCTTTGCCCAAAACATTACCTATCTTTTCATAAGCTTTAAAAAATTACTTTAGAGAATAGAAGAATCTATCTGTCCAAAGTATTTCACTCTTGACCCAAAATGAATATGCAATGAAGTTCTTGCTACAAGAACAATAGTCTCTTTGATTCATGCAAAAATTATTGATTGAAAAGGGACCATTTCTTGATTAAAGAGACACTTTTCTTAAACTAATAACGAATACTATTGACTCAACTAAAATTTATTTTGATCTAAGAGAAGTCTATACATCATATACAGGCATATTACGAGGTATATTATTTTCTGATAAATTTAGGTTTTCCTGGTCTGTAGTAAGTATAGTGATATTATTTTCCTCGATAGTAGTTATTTCTGCTTCTTCACTCCTTGGTATTTTTTGGGGTGGTTCATCACTCTACAAATTAGAAAAAAAATTTACATCACGATTAATCAAAGTAAAGCAAATAAATTATTAAAATTATAAGCTTTGGTCACATTTTGAATTTTTTAATACGACGACTTGAAATTCTAAATTTTTTGTAATTATTTGCATAAAAAAATCGATACCTATATTCTTATTCTATCTATAATCACGCATGCATTATCTAAACAGGTGCATTATGTAAATGTCTCTTACCTTCAAATATAGCAAATAAATGCGCTAATTTCCATTTTTTCAGAAACTCCTTTAAAGAATCCATATATCCTAAAATTTGTCCATAAAAAATGACAAATGTATGTTAATAACGATCACTAATTTGTTATACGATATGCGTTTAAAGAGCAAATTATTAATTCCAAATTCAAAATTCCAAGTGGAAAATTCCAAGCAACAAAACCCGTACGTACTATGATGTGCGACCTATAAAATGCGACGTACGACTGATCGGAGTGCCGACTGATTGTATATACCGTCCTTCGTCATCGTCTTTGTGTGTCGTTATTATTTTTCATCAAAAGAGTATTTAGCTATTGGAAAAATGGCCATGTTTCTTGAATGAAGTACTTCCTAGCGTATTTTTCTTATTATCTTAAAACAAAGTAACTTGCACTTGGTTGAATGAAAATAGATTCAAGAGAAATTTTCGAATTTTTCAAGAGAACCAGTTTTCTTGAGTTAAGAGAGTTTTTCTTCAGGCAAAATATTTTCTTTTACCCTAAAATAAATTCTCTTGCCACTAATTTTTTTTTTCAAGAACGATGACGACTTTAATTCAAGTCTATCTTTTTTATGAGTGTACGTACTAAGAATCTTTTAATAATCCATCAGTTCTCTCCGTGGAAAACCCTGTATAAAATCACTTTTATTATTCAGGATATTGTAATATATTATTAATGTTGTTCTATTTCAGAATAGCAAAAGTCTGAACGTGGACGAATCGAGACGATTCTCTTGCGGCAGTATCGTGTCAAGGAGACTGTCGATGAGCGGCCTTAGGAGAAATGAAATTCCAGTGGAAAACATTTACAGTCAGAATAAAATAGATACTTTGCAATGGCAATTAAAAGAGGTACGTATGCGATCTTATATCCCTATAAAATCTTGAAATATGTTTATTATTGACATGTTTAGACTAAACATTTATGTAAGGTTTAGTAGTTACTATCATGTGTAAAATATTACTATATGTACAATTACATTAAGATAATTATTTCCTCACTTTTCCTTATCCATAAATAATAATATATGATTTTACTTGCACACAATGAAAAAAAAATCTCCTTATAATTATGCCATTAAAATTACTGTTCTGTAATGAAGGTTCTTTAACCGTGTAAAATGTATGTTTATTTGAATTTATTATTGGTAGGTAGTATCTGACTATTGAAAATCTTTATAATGATGTTTCCCATACTAATTAATTTGAATAATTTAAGCAAATTGGCTCGCTTGTAGTGATAAAAATTATTTTTTTGCGAAATGATATCTCCTCAGCTATAATAATTGATTTCCGTTTCCAGTAGAAATCGGTTAAAATTAGCGAATTTCTTCTTTATTGATTTAAATAGAGATGCTATAAATATATAAGTTTAAGAGATTATGTCATTAATTTCAGTTTTTGTACATTACGTACCTATAGATGAAATATATGGGTGGTTTAAGTCTGTAAAAGTGAATAGATCAAGTATTAGTAGTATTGAACGAAAGTTCGCGGTTCTTTGTCGCGAGAAGTTGCATTTTAGATCTGTAAAGAGGATTTAAAAAAATGAATAAATTAGCGATATACAGGGTGGTCCCAATAAATAATATACCCAGCCTAGGCCCCGTATTATAATAAGCCTGGTTTTTACAATACGCCTACGATATACAGGGTGTTTCAAAACAAATGCGAAAAACTTCAGGGGGTGATTCCTTGTTCAAAATAAAGGGTAGTTTGCTTCATAAACGTTGGGTCAAAAGTCAACCATTAGGGAGATATCGCGGTACAAAGATGGCGGAAAAATAATGTTCTTATTTTTATCTTGAAAACGAAAAGAGATAGACTAATTAAATTTTATGGAAGCATTACTGTTATGAAAACACACTTTCTGGTAATTTTTTCACTTTTTTAAAATGAGTGGAAGGGGTTGAAATAAACTACCCCTATCATTCTTGTTAACGAAATTTAAAGAATCTTATCAAACACATGCAAAAAAATTAATTTGGATAGTTTAGTTTGTTTAGAAACTTTTTTATCTCTTGTATATTTTTGATAAAACTCACCGATTTGAAATTAAAAAATATAATGTAAAGCATTACATGTCAGGACAAAAAACATTTTCTGATAAAGAATCTAGTGGGCTGCTGTAATTTTTATAGGAAAAAATCTAGTCGGCCGCTGTTACTTTTTAGGATGTTCCTAATATTATTTTATTTGACATTACTCTACTGCAATACGTTATTATCTAGATGATTATTATTATCGTTATTATCACTAGATTCTTAATCTAAAAATGTTTTTTGTCCTGACATGTAATGCTTTACATTTTATTTTTTAATTTCAAATCGGTGAGTTTTGTCAAAAAAACACAAGAGATAAAACAGTTTCTAAACAAACTAAAGCTATCCAAATTAAAGCATTTGCATGTGTTTGATAAGATTTTTCTTTAAATTTCGTTAACAAGAATGATAGAGGTACTTTATTTCAACCCCTTCCACTCATTTTAAAAAAGTAAAAAAATTACTTGAAAGTGTGTTTTCATAACAGTAATGCTTCCATAAAATTTCATTAGTCTATCTCTTTTTGTTTTCAAGATAAAAAATAAAAACATTATTTTTCCGCCATCTTTGTACCGCGATATCTCCCTAATGGTTGCCTTTTGACTCAACGTTTATGAAGCAAACTACCCTTTATTTTGAACAAGGAATCACCCCCTGAAGTTTTTCGCATTTGTTTTGAAACACCCTGTGTACACATACATACATCTCGATGATACATCTCATGATATATCTCGAGAACCATTACTCGTAACGATTTTTAGCAGGATACATTTTTTACGTAAAAAAATGTAATTGTAAATTTTTTACTCAGTAGTTTTATACAGGTTCGGACGAAAATGTAATATTCTTCAAACCAGTTAAAAAATATGTAGGTAGACGTCGTTTTTTTTTCGATCATACGGTATTTTACATTACAAAATATACCCACCATGTTTTCTGAAATATAGCGTTATGTTTTAAAGTATCCTCTTTTTTAGATTGACAAAAGTCGTGAAATGTATAAGGCAGTTATGAAGCAAGTAGTAACTTTTTTGGAGAAAGCCCATATAAGCTTAGGAACGTTAGGCAGTCGTTTAAATAGGAAAAATACAGTGCCAAGATCAAAAAGCGAACATCATATCGTTATCGACAACAACACTCAAAGCCAAAGATCACTAATAGAGGAACATCTTAACACCTGGTAAGTTGCCGTTATTTAAAATTACTATAGTCTGTCCAACGAGAAGATCCTTGACAGTGATAGATGTGTCTGTCATTTTAATTTCAAAGTAGTTTATTTTATTATACAAAGAAATAAGTTGGTACAACTGGAACGCATAGCGATATATTTAAAATTTGATTGACAAGATGACAAGTGATTACTTCAAAATATTGTGAAAAAAACTATATAAAACTGAAAAAATGTAATCGAGTTATTTTATTTAATAAAAACGGTATGTGTTAATACAAAACAAACAAGAACAAGACACTACATACCAAAAAAATATAAAAAAGAACTATTTACTTTCAAGCTTTATGAAACTACCCGCATTTATGATTATATTTATCAATATAACTTATGTACAAATACAAATTTGTAATATTCTACAGGTATAAATAAAACAACATAGGTGAATACAACAAACTATTTTATTAATAATAACACCTACCAAATTTTATACCTTAAAGGTTGATTAATTAACTTTAATCTTAATTTTTTTTAAATCAGTACCTTTTGACATTATTTTTCTGCAGTACTAAAATCCATTATTTACCTATTGTGTGATATCGATATTTTACAGCTACTCCAGTTTTTAGTATGTGTTTAGTTTGATCCTTATATACGAGATGCACTTATCTACGACGAAATGGAATACAAACTTTATCGATGGCAACTTCATTGGTGTATAAGACTTTCTGCCTGGGCAGCGTGTATTAACCATAAACTGTGCTCTAGGTCTACAGTTAATTTTCACTCGATTTTTCCTCCACTTGACTTCAAAAGACACGAAACACACGTAATAATACGAATCAAAATGCACCATCTTCCAAAACGCAGGGTATTTAACAAAAATTGACACAAAATTATAACCTATAATTTGGCAAGACTTTGACAAGCGTCAAAAACGACAAAAATCTAAAGGCGAGTTCATACGCATCGGCGTCCGTTTGTCGTTCATCGTTCCGTCAAACCAATAAAATTGAAATACGATCTGTCATTTTTTAAATAAACCAATAAAACTGGTTAAAAACAAGAAGACACGACGCATGACGGATTTATATTTAAACCCATCCATAGGTAACTTAAAAATTATTACAAACTTTTTTTAGTAAAATAAATAGATTGGTATGGGACGTCATCTGCTTTTCTTCTGTCATCGTCTGTTGAAATTTTACCTGAGAAAAAAAAACAGAATATACCATAAGTAAAAAAGAGTTATTGTACATTATTATTTTCCAAAATGATATATATTCTCTAACTGAAAAGATTGAAATGAGAAAATGACAAAACGGAGTCTTGTGTAAATATGCTCGATCTAAAATATTTATTATCAAGCAGGCTTTGATTTTCACTTTTAAAGTATTATGACGTAACTGTCCATAAGTGTTGGTTGTCTATTATCATTCAAAGGAACAGCGCTGTAATATACTGGGTTGAAATATCCTTGTGCGTTAAAGTTAAAAGTTAGGTTTCTAGCCGCCACCGGTAATTGACTTTCAGACGACAAAAAGTTTAAAAACTAGAATTAATCGATTTATTATTGTCTTATTTTATTTACGTTTCAATTAATGTTGTTACTATGCAACAACATTAATTGAAAATTTATTAATTATTATCGTTAACCAAACTTCTTTAATTTTGACAGTGACTGTCTCACCGTCGTCAAAATTCTAAGGTGCTTCGAAAATAACTTTCACAAACATTGAATTTTGATTTTTAGGCTAACTTAGGAAAATATAAGTTGTAAACTTTATGAACTATCGCTAGTCATATTAACTTATTACCTACTTAAGAAAAAACTAGGTAGACGACCTACAAAAATAAATGACAAATCCTACATACCCTATCCAACAATTGTGTATAATTTAGTATCAATATTAGAAATCTTAATTTCTGTAGTAATTATAATGACTTGACAATTATTTCTGACACCATAATTTTAAAAGAATAATCTACCATTTTGAGATTACTAAGTAAATCTAAACAGTACACTTAAGAATCATCATGATCATTTTCATCTTATTCAACCATTTCCAATTATGTTAGCATTGTTGTCTATTGTTGGCTATGCGGGCTCAAGGTATACCTGCTAATTTCCTGATATCATGGTCCTATCTCAAGTTCGGTCTTCTTCTAGGTCTCTTAATCCCTCGTACCATGCTGTAATTTTTGTGGTCCATCTGTTGGCCGTCCTTCTTGCCAGGTGTCCTGCCCATTGCCACTTGAGAGATTTGACTCTGTGGATGACAACCATTACCTGGATCTTTTGTCGTATCCACTCTAGTCTTTTACTTAATGTTAATAAGGAATAAGGAATATACCAAGCTTGCTATCGCTTAATTTTTCAGGTGCTTGATCCTCTGTTCGCGTCAATTCAACTAAAAATTTTTACTCCTATTTGGGGAGCTACCTACTGGAATAATATTTGCCTTGACTTTCCCTAATCTTTTGAAGTCGTAGAAGGCTCTCCGCAGAAAATAATGACCTGAAAGCTGAAAGATCTGCATCAACTTCAGTTGAACCAATACCATAGGCGTTGTGAAAGCGGTAGTACAACTTGCGCAAGGAGTCCAGGTCACTAGGTAGCCCTTCTGATGCAAGCATCAAATTGATGCTGGTACTAGTGTGTCCTTCAAAACACACACTGGATGGTTGGTCGTGAAGATAGGCAAGGAATAGCCTAAGAGATTTCAAAATGGAGGGGTCCCTCAACCTGGCCAACACGTAACGTCCATTTACCGCATCTGAGTCCTGAGACAGCCGTACTATAGGTGGAGTCATCGGGTCCATAACTACCAAACCATCTATCTTCGTACTTCCCTGCACAATAATTTCTGGATTTTCCATCGCCAGGGACTTGCAAGTCAGAACCAATCTTAATAGTTCTTACCTCCCTTGGCATAGTTGCCAGTGGTGGGTCAAGTAGGTGAGGAAGCTTGCGGTTCTCAATGATGTTTATTTTGAGATTTTGAGCAGGTTCAGCCGAAGAAGTTAACGAAGCTTGGTTTAAGGATGTTGAGGTTGAATCTATCATGGTGCCCGGTGGCCACATATTTATGTCCTTAAGCTTCACTAAGTGACACCTCTTTTGCACTCCAATTTTGAAATCGGAATGGGAACTGTCCTTATTTTTCAGCATTGGAAAGCATCTGATGAAATCGGTGGTTCCTAGTTTCTCTTCAACATAGTGCGCAAATTGATTCGCTGTGTAAGGAGGTGGAATTCTGGACACCACTACATAATACCAGTCTTCTCTTATGGCGGCCTTAGGAGATTGCGATGACACTATTCTTTGACATATATTGCGATGACAAGTTCTTGCTACAAGAACAATAGTCTCTTTGATTCATGCAAAAATTCTTGATTGAAAAGGGACATTTCTTGATTAAAGAGACTTTTCTTAAACCAATAGCGAATACCATTGACTCAACTAAAATTTATTTTGATCTAAGAGAAGTCTATACATCATGTACAGGCATATACAGGCATATTACGAGGTATATTATTTTCTGATAAATTTAGGTTTTCCTGGTCTGTAGTAAGTAAAGTGATATTATTTTCCACGATAGTAGTTATTTCTGCTTCTTCACTCCTTGGTATTTTTTGGGGTGGTTCATCACTCTACAAATTACAAAAAAATGTTACATCACGATTAATCAAAATAAAGCAAACAAATTATTAAAATTATAAGCTTTGGTCACATCTTGAATTTTTTTAATACGACGACTTGAAATTCTAAAATTTTTGTAATAATTATTTGCATAAAAATATCGATACCTATATTCTTAATTTATCTATAGTCATGCATGCATTATCTAAACAGGTGCATTAGGTAAATGTCTCTTACGTTCAAATATAGCAAATAAATGCTCTAATTTCCATTTTTTCAGAAACTCCTTTAAAGAATCCATATATCCATATTAAAATTAAATTTGTCCATAAAAATGACAAATGCAATAACGATCACTAATTTGTTATACGATATGCGTTTAAAAAGCAAATTATGCAAAATTCCAAGTGGAAAATTCCAAGCAACAAAACCCGTGCGTAAGTGTGCGACCTATGAAATGCGACGTGCGACTGATCGGACTGCCGACTGATTTTATAATACCGTGTTTCGTCATCGTCTTTGCGTGTCTTATTATTTTTCATCAAAAGAGTCTATTAAAAAGAGGTTATTAAGAGAGAAAATTTAGCTATTGGGAAAATGGCCATGTTATATGGTATATGTATATATTATCTTAAAACAAAATAACTAGCACTTGGTTGAATGAAAATAGATTCAAGAGAGATTTTCGAATTTTTCAAGAGAACAAGTTTTCTTGATTTAAGAGAGTTTTTCTTCAGGCAAAATATTCTCTTTTACACCAAAATAAATTCTCTTGCCACTAATTTTTTTTTTCAAGAACGATGACGACTTTAGTTCAAGTCTATCTTTTTTATCAGTGTGGATAGTTATAAAGCAATTAATTATATTTTAGGAACAACAACAAAAAGGATGTTTCACCGGACGAGATACCCCCAGAAAAACTCGCCCAAGAAGCCTTCCGTTTATTGCGCACCGCCCAATCTCTTCTCAGCACCCAAGAGCCCAACTTGACGGTTTCAGAAAACGGCGACAGTTCCGACGGACCAACCGACATTGAGTTTCTTGCCCAGCTTGCCAAAGAGTTTCCCAGCGATTCCCAGAAGCAACCGCAACGAGCCACCAGTTTCAGCTTGACTCCCAAGCTAATATTACCCGAGCACGATATCCGCATTGGGACGGCCTTTAATCGAAAACTGTCTCTGCAATTGAACGACGTGAAGAGAACCTCGCCAGGAAAATATTCTCGATGCGACTCGGCCAGAGGATCGGTGGCCGAAAGTGAATCGTTTTCTCTGTCTGGCGTCGAACGATTGGAAAAATCTGCCGGCGCTGAAGATCCTATGAGAGAAATGGTGGATTTTTTAGAGACGAGGAGCAAAAATGGAGACAAATCCTCCAGTTCCCCACCTGCTGGAAGTATTAGTTCGATGGAAGACGAGAGTGGTTTTTCTTCTATGACTTCGTTCCAAGATGTTGGTTTACCGTTGGTGAATTCCACTGCCATAGATGAGGTAACTGTTTAATTATTTAGCTTGATCTTCATGCGTCCGTTATCTGTAAAGGTTGATACCTTTGAATAAGAAGACTAAGGAAGGAGCATAATGCTATCCATGTATTCATGCATGGTGGGCGGAAAAAGCACTCTAGGGTGGGGATCCTTGACAGTTCTGTTTGACGATTCATTTGACACATTTGAATTTGATTTGAAATTTTGTGGATTTGTCAGTCTTTACGGAGCTTATTTTATGTTATTTATTATTTATTCTACTACTGATAGTTGTATAAAGGTAGTAAATCTAGATAGAATTTGTGGCAGAACTTAAATTAATAGTGACACAATCGCGATTTATCGAAAAAGACTGTAAAATATTTGGTTGTGTAGCGTGCGGTAGATCTCGGCAAAAATCGAGTGAAATAATGAAACAACTTTTCGCTAGTAAGTGACTATATAGTTGCGTTTTTCGTCGGTTCCGTGTGGATAGAAAGTCACAATTTATTTAAACACTATTTATTTAACACTAATTAACAAAAATAATAACGATAAAAGAAACTTAAAGAACTATTTACAAACGATTTATAATTATTTATCTAGAAAGAATTTATTTTGAATTTTAGCGCGTCAACTGTACTCGTCGATTTATGTCTGCCCTCTCTAGGCTCTAGCCGCCGGCCTTTATACCCACAGCTAAAGATTTCTCGAATAATCCATAGATCGTTAGGTGCATAGAGAAGGTTTCGATTGTTCTCGTATGTACTACTCCATTCCAGTGGAATTCGATTCTTCTCGAAACTTCGAATGAATTATTACGATGTCTATTCTTTAATGCGATGTTAAGGTTATCTGAGGGCGGGACATATAGTTAGGTTAGGTCGAGTCCACAGGGGTCCGCAATAATATGATATACATACGTGTAGTAAACCGATCATTTATGAAATTCACTTAAATTAACTAATTATATATTTTTTCTCGCATTTTTGCTTTTATTTACTACTTGTCAAAGATTAGATGTCAAAGAATTTAGATACGTCAATTTGACTTACCTGCTTCAGTAGCGTATCGGATGTTTGTGTTAATACATAATTATTAAAACTTGTCTATTTTTATTATAATAATACGTTTTTATAACAATTTTAATAACTACCAACATTTATTCACAACGTAAAATAAAAAAAAAATATTGAGTCTACCCCACGTCTACCCTACATCACAGTTTTACATTTTTTAAATAAAATTAGAACGGCACTGACAAACTAAAGATATGAAACTTAATAGTAAAATTTTGGTCAAAGCGCCCCTCCGTGTTTTTAGTAGAGACTACGTTTAACTCAGCGCCTTTGCATTTTCTGCTGTAAATATTTTATATGTTTATATTTGATTTCAAAGGATTTAGTTTTAAAGTTACACTGATATATTAGTATATCAGAGTAACTTTAATAAAACATAAGAATATATATACACTACTGGCAAAGGAATATTAGCAATAGGAGGTTTTCAATGCGATAAAAAAAGATGGTAAGGCTGCAAAATACACTGCAGTGCAACAGAGACGGATAAAGTGTCTTTTCCCTACCATCGTATAGGGGAAGTGGTCATAGAAGTGATACGACGAGAGAGCCCCTGCGAGAGGGGGCGCCGGGCGGGTCTCTAAGACGCTTGTGTGGGGGCTACCGCCTACTAATAGAACAGAATCGAAAAAATAGAAACAGGACGGACAGTGTTGCCATTCAATTAAATCGAAATTATGTTGGCTTGTCAAAATCCTAAATCTTCTAATCCCATTATCTTGCCTACTTAATGAAATATTAAATAAAGTACGAAACAATTTTACGAATGTTTTCTCTAGGCACATAACTTCTTTCTAAAACGAAAAGTAACATGCAAAACTTTGATATCATTTCTAAAATAGCAAGTGCAATTCTATGAAATGGCAATACTGTACGATCTTCCTAGCAGTCGCCCCGACACAGTCGGTCGGCGGCGGCGCTTCACAAAGCCGCGGCTGTGACAAAGGAATTAGGCCGAAAAAAACTTTATAAGGAGTAGACGAACAGGGTTGCCGGGTTTGTTAGATTATAATTCCATACGAGAACAAAATTCTCGGTAGATCTTCAACAAAAATTAAAAGTACAGAAACGAAATAAAATATAATATTTAAGTCCAAAATTAGCATTCCTATGTGTCGTAATAATAGATCACTCAAATAAAATACAAATATAATAAATATAACAAGAATTAGAAATAGCTAGGTATATTATTTAATATTAAAAAAAATATTGAATTAAATAATATTAATATATTAATAAAAACATATAAAACTATAACAAGTAGGGATAGCAGTCACAAATTAGTGTAGCAGTCACTTTTTACCTTTGTACAAATTTTGATCAGTGATATCTAAAATTAATTTCATTTCAATGGGAAAGCTGTGCAACTCTCAACTCTTTTTCATATTAATATATTTTTTTGACGGGAAAATCACTAAAATATTTGTCCGAATTTAGGTTGTTTCTTAACTTAAATTTTGTTTTTTGTTTACATTTTTTGGGGAAAATATGGGTTCAACTTTAGTAGATGAATGAAATAAAATCTTTTCAAAAGATATCAACTTCTTCGGGCATGTCGCCAATACCGCGCCTAATAAGGAGTAATAAGGAGTAATAAGGATTTTTAGGAATATCTCTGTAACTCTGCAACTAGACAGAACGATGACCTGTATGTGTGTTATTACTAAATAAAATTTAATGAAACAATAATAAAGTCAAATTATACAGATTCCAACACGGCAGTCGCTTAATTTTTAGTCAAATAAGTCAGCTTTTTATAAGTGCTTCTATTGTAAAAACTAAAGACGCAGTTGAATATATCGTTAGATTTTTCTTTAAATCGGTAGATCGGTAGCTTACAGACGAAACCGGTAGACCTGGCAACTCTGTGATGAACTGACGGGAGTCAGAATAGCGAGGTGCGGAGGCGCGGGAAGGGAAATAAAATAATGGCGATAAATAAAGGGCAGGGAGATGGGTATCATGAGTGGATGGGAGGTGGCGGAATTTTCAAAATTTGTTATCTTATTGGAGTTTGTCTAAGTAGACAGTCGTAGTGGAAGTGGAAACGGGGAAGTTGTTGTCCATCTCTGTTTAAGCATAGACTTTTTATAGGCGTTTCATTCCAATGCATGTAATTCCTATGCCTGAGATATATTGTTGGCATATATATATATATATATATATATATATATATATATATATATATATATATATATATATGGGCCTATATATATATATATATATATATATATATATATATATATATATTTTACAGTTTATTAAATATAAATTTTGACTACAAGGTAGAAAGTAAATCACAATATTTGATAAAACTTATAAGTATACCATTTTTACAGTTAATAAATAATAAAACTATTTCTGACTATGATATTTAAAATTTAGATCGATAGAATATTAAAAAACATACCGGTATTTGCAGACGCAGGCCCAAATTCAATAAAAATCAAAATTTTTCCTGCGAAAATCGGGCTTTTTTCACAGAAAAGGTATTTTTAGATTTATCAACAATCATTGTCAAGTTGACAATATACAGAGTGTTTTCTAATTAGTCTAAAAAATTGTGGTGTGATTCCTCATGTGTTCTTAAAACATTTTTTATATAACCATTTATATAACCATACTTCCTTTCTGATACTACAGGGTGTTAAAAATTAAAAAAAATCGATATTTTGCTTAACATAAATGGTACACTACTGCTTTTTTAAAGAAAATATATTTTTTTCTTGAGTGGCCATCCTTTTTCAACAAAATTGATCTTTTGAGTTTTTCTTGTTCATCAAACGGTTGCCGAGAAAAAAATAAATATACTTATTAAGAGACCACCTTAAGTCGTTTCCTAACGATTTTTTATTTTTTAGATTAATTAGGAAACACCCTGTATATGCATATCACAGGCAACCTTTGCAGGCAACCAAATAAACTAGTAACCTCTAAAAATTATTTTTCCTACCACTAGCGACATACCGTGTTTTTAGTGAGTACTAAATTATTTAATCAAAATTTCACCATATAAGTTTCCAGGCAATGATGTGTCTTCAACAAAAATGATGCGAATTTACTTATCCACGAAGTTTATAAGATCTAAGGTACAACCGGTACAACGATATATGACGTAACGTTGAAAGTTTTTTTCTCTTTTTTTTATTTTGTAATCCGTTTCTTAGATGTCTCCTAGTATGAGGTCAAAATATTAAATAATAATCGTTATATCATTTATTTTAGGTTTCTCCAAGAAGCATCTTCTTGAAAAGCATCCTCCACGAATCTGATGAAAGCAGCGTTCATTCTGAGAGGACCCTGTTGGCCTCACCCTCTCCTGATGTTGATTTGCAGAAGAGAAGTGAGTACATCAACGCGAAAGAAGTGACCAATCATGACGTCAAGCTCTGGCAGAAACCTTCTCAGGATCCAATAAGAAAAAATGCGTCGGCTAACTCTCTACCTAGCCATAAGAGATGGCACTCTAATCCAGTTCAAACAGAACCCAGCGAGCACTCTTTGAAAGTTCTTTGGGTTTAAATTTTTCGAGTATTGCCTAATTTTTTTTTGGGAGTATTATTTTTTTTTGGATGTTGTAATTCTTAAAATATTTTTTGGAGATTAAATTTCTGTTGTATTGATTTGTATTATATAAAGAATTTTGGCTTAAGTTATAATGGTAGATTAAGGCTTTTGCCTATTAACTTTTATGTAAGTTTTGCTATAATTTTGAAAATGACTGTATTTATTTTTGCTTTTCTGGCTATGCCGTTAAATAAATTGGAATCCCAGTATTCTAAATTGATTTGAATAAACTTTCGTTTAATAAGTATCGGTCTTTTATTTGGAATATGGAGGTAGAAGAGATAAAGTATATATTGTATAATGCATCTTTAGGGTCGATTGTTACAGAATCAAACTTAATAATTTTGAATAAAAAGATCAATCTGTTGTTGTTATTAATATAGATTACGTTTATTAAACAAGCTTTATTAATAAACACGATTATAACAAATATTTATAATTAAACCAAAGAATACACCAAGAATTAGACATATTCTGTGTGATATTTATCTAGTCTAGTAGTAGTAATAGTCTGGTAGTAGTATATTGGTCTAATGGCCACATCCAATTTACATCCGCTTTACATGCTCATTCAATTATAGTGAATATCTCAGTCAATATGATATCTCTATCAACTATATACTACTATGATTGCCCATCATGCTTGACATTTGGGAAATGCTTGGCAGGAGGCAATGACCTCTAAATAAAGTAGACCCGGCATTTCATTCATAAAAAGAAAAAGATCAGAATCAGACATTCGTTTCTTGTTCTATGCGAGTGGGAACAAGATGGGCTGATCGCAGTCATGAAGGATTCCCGAGAGAATGGCAACGCTGTTCAGAGAATTTGAGAATGTGTGCCAGTGGCGTAGTTATTTTGATTGTAATATATAATTTAATATTATATTCTCGTAAATATGATTTTTGGATACGATATATTGTTGTGCTAGATGGCTCTTCAAATTTTGAAAATGACTACTTCTATACTCCAATCACTTCTATACGAAAATAACTAATTGAAATTATGATATGCACATTTCCATAGTAATGTCTGTAAATTGCTCCAGTAGTAATATAATCCATCAAGCGTTCAATGAATACGAGCCGAAGACGACTTTTATAAAACATTTATGTGAATTAATGGTATTATTTTGATTGAAGCAAGGGTGAAAAATGAGAATATTTTTTTTTAACAACAATAATAAAGATCTTTGTTAAACAAAAGAAAATTTCTAAAATATTTACTTATTTCTGGATCAGTTTCTTCGCGGATAATCGGGACCTTGTACTGAATAAATAATTAACTATTCAATAAAACATATCAAACAAAGACACATTCATCTTTTAAACTATATAATTTTTTTTAGTCTTAATAAACAAAACAAAAAATACATTCCTCTATTACAAAAATTATACTATCAAAAAAAACGGCGTCAAAAATGACAATCGGTGATAATTTTGGCAAGGTGATATGTCATGACCCCTACTCTTGTTTATTTTTTAATGACACTTACTGGCAGTAGTACGCCTTAAGGTTGTATTTGATTTTTCGAAAATTCGAAAACATTTTTTTTGGATATCGATTTGTGTTTCTGGAAAAGTTCTATCCTTTTATAATTTTTCTATAATCAGTATTAGTTTTTGACAAGTTTTATGTCAATTTTTAATAAATGACTTTTTTTTTTCGATCATATGGTATATCACTATTGAACATTTTTCGTAATTGTGACATCTTTAATTTTTTTATATATTTTTTCAACAAATTAATATTCGCATTTGTATACTTGGTTTTGATAATATTTAAATATTATGATCAAGATATTCAATAAAACCAAACGTGACGAAACTAACTTAATGTAATGGTTCATTACTTATAACGGTACATTCCAAAACTGTGTGATTTACTAATATTTCCAAAGATTTTTTCCTATTTTACCTTTCGGCACCGCACTGATGTAACATAGCCTTACTCACCTTCGAAATCAAACTTCTAGGTTTAAATCGTCTCTATTTTTGCAAATTAAGCAAGTTCGCACCATTGTCTTATTGTTTCTAAATAAAATCACTAAAAATAATACCACAAAACACTAAAATATATGGAAATCACCTCATAAAACATTTCGAAAAACCACAACACATTGGCAACGCCGTAAAGCATTTTATGAACGAATTCGAACTGGATGTTTTGTTGGCTGCCTGAATTTTATATATATATTATAATATAATAAAATAAATGCTGTTAAAAATTTTCCATCACCTAAAAGTTAAAAAGAAATTAAATTATTTCTTGGTTTAGTAGGTTATTATCGCAGATTTATTAAACATTTTGCAAAAAATACAAAACCATTAACTAATTAATGCTTAAACAAAAATGCTAAACTAAGTCATTCTATAGAATTTGTTGATTCTTTTGAACCTGTAAATCTTTATTAATAAACTAGTTGAAGCCTGGCGCATCCTCCAAGACATCAGAAAAAAAACTTTTTATTTTTTTTTAATTAAATGAAAAAGAAAAAATCCGGCGACGACAGTTTTTAGAAGAGCTAATTAGCTATCTTTTAGTAAAAAAGCAACTTTCTAGAGCAAATCGTTACTTCAGTAGAGACGACACAGATAAACATTAGCATTTTATATATGTAGATTCACCAATTTCACGATATCCTGATTTTAATTAACCTTTTGTTTTACTCACTCGCCACTCACTCAAGCAATTATGTTTTAGGCGCAATTGTTTCTCAAGGAACTGTCTGAAACTAAATATTCGATAATAGAAAAAGAACTAATAAAGAAACTATTTTATAATTTCAGCTAATGTTTCTTGACAAAATGGAGAATGTGCATTGTTCATGCTAATCTAATAAAATAAATGCCATATCTAGCTACGCAGATTGTTCTTAAATTTGGTATACTACGGATCTTCGGTGACATTGCAATATTATGGTACCTTAAAGCATATCAAGTGGTACCATAATATAGTACACTATTATGATATCATTTCCTGGAGTTCGATTGGGCCCAAATTTGGTATACTTGCGTTTCTTTATAAAGATTTGTTTAATTAATAATTTTAATTTATTTTACGAATTTTAATTTATTGTTCGATGTCGTGACGGCAACTTTTATGTTGAACTAATATATTATTAATTGTACCTGTGTCACTTTTTAAAATCTACCTAGGTCTATATAAATAACGTGGCAAACGGAAGAAATTTGTTATTATAGTATTTTTAGTCAGTTAACATTTTTTGTACTGCATTTTAATAAATTATTTCCATTATTATTAAACTTATATTTTATTACTAACGTTCCAGCATTAATAAATATCACTATCAATCGCCCTGTATATTATTAATTTTAAAGGTAATTAAAGGTATTTTCTTAGTTAACATTATAAGGTAGTGTATATTAAAAATGTATATGTTTTGTAATAATATACTTAAAACTATTTTAATAGCCAAAGGAATAATTAATATAAGTGTATCTGACAAGAAAAGAAGAATATAAAGAAACACATACTGGCATTATACACAGTAAAAAGAATGGGATGCCAATTCAAGTCTTTTTGAATCTGGCAACTGTGCATATTTAGCCGAGCTACAAGGCCATCTAGTATTCTATTTGTGCAATTTTAGCTCTTTCATTTCGAGTATTTTTCTGTTGCGTAGCTAGATATTCTGTGATATAATTAATAATTCCACAAACTATATTCATAAATTAATAAAAATAAGTTTTACGTTCACCAGTTTGTCAAGAATCATATTTTAAAAAGTTTTATAAGTATATTTTCTATAAATTTCCGTTAGTTAATTTTATACTTTATGTAACGGCCATACCACGTCGGTTCAGCAGTTCCCGTTCGATCACTGAAGTTAAGCGACGTCGGGCGCGGCTAGTACTTGGATGGGTGACCGCTTGGGAACCCCGCGTACCGTTATTTTTTAACAGCAGCAGCATGGGGCTTACGCTGTATCCATACTGTGGCAATATGGGGACAGTACCTGTACCTTGGAACGCTACTAGGACCTTGGATAATGTCCGTAACCTGGGCCATAACCTTGGACACAGTCCGTCCATAAGGCAACCGTACAGGGGAACACTACACAAGACGACGCACCGCCTCTGAACGCTGAAGTTGTCAGCAAATTTTTGCAGCCAATTTCAAGAATAATTCAATAGCTAACCAAGATCCCAGCCGTTGCGTTGGCCGTCGAGGCCGCCTGACTTAGTGCCCATGGATCTAATCCTATGGATATATTTGCGGAAGAATAAAGGTTCCTTATTCTTCTGTATAATCGAGACAAGAATTAGAAATACTTAGTAGTTATGAGAGTAGTATCTTTCACCCCCACTGAGTTAATGAGTTCCGCGAGAAATTTTCAAAAACTGCCCCGTCTGTCAAAATCTCATGTCTTGGTTTGCTATTTATTTTTATTGTTATTAGATACAGTTTAAATGTGTTGATGTTGGTTAAATATATTTTAAATTGTTATAAAATTCTGCATCTCTCATAGCAAATATTATTTTCGTTTTAATTGATGTTCACAGCTAGAATTTTTTGCATTACAGCCGGTGCCGTTCAAAGCCTACTAATTTAAAAGCCGGCGAATTTTTATATACTCTATATCTCGAAGAGGAATCGAGCAAAATATCAAGTGTGTTATAGTTTTGGAAAGGTAATTTTAAATTCTTTTCAATAAATTAAAAATATACAGGGTGTCCCATATAAAAAATCAAATTTTCTGTTGATAATTCTTAAATTATTAATTTTAAAAAAAATATACTTAAACCATTAAATTCTACGTAAAAAGGCGCTTTGGAAATGTTTTCATAAAAATACAAAATTTTCCATAGAAAAAAAGTTACAGCGACTTGTTAAAAATGCATATTTTTGAAAAACCATAGGGGAATCCCCCCTAGCACTTGGCTTGGTCTAAGAAGCATCTCACTCATCGTCTTGTCCCTGACTGTAGTGTCGTGGCCAGGGAATTGCACCAAGACATATAACGATACCGGGCGGGGCTACGGACAGCCTCAACCTTGGGGCACCCCATTGTATTTTACCCCTTACTTCTACATGCGGGCTCTGTAGAAGTGGACCGACTGTCCCTAGCGACTCATAGGAACACTATGAGATCTGGTAATAATAGTAATAAAAACATCACCGGTGAAGCTGTGGGGAAACCCCCTAGCGACACTGTAACAATAAAAGTTCCAAGGGGCCAAACCCAAAGAGAACTACAGGAGAGGTGGCTGACACTTGCGTG